ACTTATAATAATTGCATAATTTCATCATTATTAAAATGTATTTTCTTATCTTTCATCTAAAAATCGTTAAATTATAATTTATCAATCATATTAGATTTTACATCTAATAAAACATTATATGATAATAGAAATATTTCTTCAGAACTTTTTACTTGCTTTTATTTTAAGACTAATTTATGTATTTATTTAATCTTGATATTGAATTTTATAGAAATAAAGAAATTAAAATGATATAAATTATACTTAAAAACTATCATAAAAATATTATAAAATGTAATATTAATATTATGAAAATATATATTGATTTTGCAATTATCACGTAATTTAAAACTACATATATAACTTTAAAGATTATGTAATACAATTCTGATCAATAAAATTTAACTATTTGATATGATTAAGACATTTGTATTATACTCTATATAAATCTTTAAATATTATTTTAATATTACAATAATATTATTTAAAATTTAATGAAAATTTTATTATATAAAATTTTATTTACTAAATAAGAAACTTTATAATTCATTAAATAAAAATCAAGGTTAAAAAAAACCTTTATTAAATAACCTAATATTATATTATAAGCGTTATATACAAGTTTAGTTATATTAGTTTAACAATAATGCTACCAAATATATATATAAAAATATATTATATATATATATTTTTAAATTATTAATAATTTTTCAAAGTGATACTAAACTATTAATATAAACATAACAAAAGTTGCTGTTTATACTTTGTGAAAATTATGTAAAATAAATAAATAAATAAATAAGTAAATAAATATATATAATATTGTCATTACTTGGTTCCTGCAGACAAATTTGCTTTTCCAAATAGTGCACTAACATCAATAAATAATTGTATATAAAAATTTCTCATTATATACATCAATTGTCCTGTATATTCGGATAAACAAAAAACGTGACTTCAGAATGTGTACCAAAAGAGTGAAAAAGTATTTTGATTCAAAGTAATCAAAGCAAAAGCGTATGTCTTCAAAGGTGGTACGGAGAAATGTAGTATTGGTATATAACCAAACTCAATTTTTTCTTGTGACTTTCATCCTTTAATAGGAAGATGCACGCATATGGGGAGACACAATTTGCCCCAAGCATCGTAAGCATCCCTATTGAAACGAAGAAAATAAATATAATAAAAATAAAAGGAATATAATAAATAATAATATTACAAAATAAACAAATAATTATCACAAAAAAAAATATTTGATTTCCAACAACTACGTCTTTCTCTTGGAAAATGTCTTGTTTAATAGCTGTAAAATCTTGGGAATATTAAACTGCACATATTCGAGATCCAAAGAAACGACATTATCTTGTTGCTAAATGATTAAAGAATAATACTATTAATAAAATTCTCAATTACATATCG